TAAATTTATATTCATTTTATTCACAAGGAAAGCTTAAACAGTTACAGTATAATATATACACATGCAAAAATGTGAATGATTATGTAATATTGACAAATGTACTCCAACAGGCCAATTCTTTAGCCTGCTGTAAGTGCTGTAGGATGATCATGACTCTGTAATAACAAAAATATGAGTTTGTGAATTTAATATTAACCAAGTTTGCTAAGGGGAAATTGTAGTATATTCAGTGTAGATGGAAGTTATCAAGAGTGAAAGGAAATGCTCTTTTATAGATCACAAATTGATCTTGAATCCTTGAAATGTAAATTTATGTAAATGTTTCACTTCTGTACTTCCTTGCATAGGGACAAGAGAATGACTTTGAAGGCCCGTTCACAAAACAGGGTAGCGCCCATATGGGCAAACATTGTTACCAAATCTCAATGGCTACCAGACCTCAGTCCAAGACTGGATAAGCAGAGAAACCACAGGCAAGTCATATAAATGGCCATGCCTACTGTTTAACATGAAATGCCTAACACCAAGACTCAAACTTGATTGTCTGCCATTGGGCACACATAAGTGTGTTTTACCTTTGGGTGCACAGGATTCAACTGTTCAGGTAACTTTTTTTTCACATTCTGCCAGCCATTAGAGATTAGTAATGGTTTAGCCTGTGCAAGCACTACCTGTCATGTGAATGGGTCCTTAGACATCTTCAGGTAAGTGGACCTGATCAGCAGGCATGCCGAAGTAGTGATATAATTGGCCGGCAACTACTAGCTAAACCACAAGTTTGTGAGTAGTTTGCCCACCTCTGCATCTTTCCCTATTTTTGATTTATTATTTAACTTTCAAAGCTTATAACAGCACCAGTCTAAGAAAATTAAATAAGACAAAAAATGGTAAAGAAAATGAATAAAAATAACCACATTCTTCCATGCAATGTAAAAGAGAATTTAAACAAAAATTCATGAAACTAAATGAATATAGTAAATATAACAGCATGGAAATGAATAGAATAGAGCAAATTAATACAAACTGAAGAAAGACAGTGAGTATACAAAAGTGAAAATGAAAACTAGTATTAACCACCTAAACCTCTTTTCCCTTCAAAATTCATAAATTCATTCATAATTCATAAAAGTTCAAAAAACATAATGGAACTGTTTACATGTATGACATCACGATTTTGTGGTAATGGGTAAAGGACAGATGAACTGTTATGATGTAATCTGAATGTATGACAAGAAACCAAAGAAAAGGTACAGTATCATAGAATTATGTACATTTTTATCACTTCAAAAAGGAAATGCCTGGTATGCAGATCTACACAAAGATCCATCAAGCCAGTACATCCCTTGTGGTGCACGGCAAGGCACTTTTGGTAGGTTCATGCCACACACACCTGGAGGTAACACAGCACAACGGGAGGTAAAGATATCTTGGAACTCACTGGATTTGCTGACATTAAAGCATTGATCTAGAGAAAACATTTTCTTTTCTTTTTTTTCTTGTTTTCCCCACTTTTTCAAACAGGATTTCTTTTTTCATGTCAGGTGTGTCTAAGAGACAGCACCACTATTTCATAATGGAGTGAGACAGTAAATCATATTATATTACTTTGAAGAGCAGACTAGTTAAATAATTACAAATTAATGTAATAGATTCATCCACACAAGAGTGCAGAAATTGCACAAGTAATTCAAAAGTTATTCATGAATTATGGCCTAGAGATAGTGTTACTTATATAATGAGAAAGTAATAATCAGTTTTCTGGAAACCATCCTATTTTGAGCTGGTTATGTGAGGTAAGAAAACCATAATAAAACTCTCCTAACCTTTCTATGATATCTGCAATTGGATGTTTATCATCCATATAAAATAAGTAAATTCTCTCTTTATTAGAAAAAATAATAAAAAATAAAAAATAATACAGGCGAAATCATGGGATTTTCTTTCAGAATATTTTCAGATCTGATTTCCAAAATAAAACATATATTCCAACTTACATTTTCCTGTAGAGTTGGTTCCAGATATCAGTATGATTATCACAAAACACCGAAAATTTGTATGATAATTTTAACCACAATTAGCTATTTTTTGAATGCACTCTAATGTACCTTGCAACTTCAGCCTCATGATTGTTATAAAGTTCATAAATTTGAAGGGGTAGCTGTTCTTTGCCCTTTTCTTGAAGAAGATTATTTAGTTCATCGATGGCTTCATAAATGAGATCTTTCAGTTCACGGGTGTAGGGGTTTAGGTCTAAGGGCACATTTTTGGATGGTTTCCTCTTAAAAAGGCCATCAGTGTGCTGACCAAGACAGTAGAGACGATCACTGTTCTCGTCAAGTTTTAAGTACTGTATTACTTTACGCATTTCTTCTACTGGGTTCTGCTTGAGGTGCTCGTAATGTATTATGTGAATGTCCTCTGGTTTGCTATGTGTCAGCCAGTCCATATAGAAGTCTTTCCACAACTGAATTTTCAGTGAAACAAATTCTGCCCAACCTATTAAAAAGAAAAAAAAATTGTACATATCAGTTTTTTGAGAATACCATTCTCTTACCAGATTAATGAAGGTAAATAAATTTTGCTCAATTACATAAACTATATAAAGGCAGCCAAAAATTGGTCAATCATGAAAAATCTTTTTACCTCAATCCAAATAAAAAAAAAAAAATACTGACAAACTAATGGAAATTTGCAAAAAGCTTTATACCTTTGCCAACAAAGTGAGCCTTGGGAGCATAACCTGTATGGCCACCGACATCCAAGTGCCGGTGGGAGATGAGAGCTTTAAAAGGGTTGCGTATTATCAGCACACCCTGATGACTTAACTCGTCCATGTGATTCTGGTTTATCTGAATAGAGAAAATTATTTAATTGGAGATGATATGATTAAGGGATGCTGGAGTCACTGCTGATAAATATGAAAACACTAAGTTTGTTTTCCAGCAGCAGTACTGAAAACCACATGAATGACTACCTGCAGATTTTATTTGCTGTTTGTAGTGGAAATATGTGAGAACCATTTTTTTTAACTTTTTAGTTTTTTGTGTTATTCCTAGTTATACTTTCTTATATTTTGGAAAACTCAAGTAACTGAAATAATCAAGAAAATTTTCATAATAACATTATTCAGTATAGTAATAAAGTGCTGTATTATTTAATATATAGCCTTAATCTCCTTGTGATAAACTACTGTTATCAAGATCAAAACCTCCCAGATCCTTTACTTTCAAAACAATCCAAAAATATATGATCAAATATATATCAAACATATCAGAATATAATTAAAATTATATCTGTTGACTTGTCTTCTCATTCTTCAGATAAAACAAGCATAATTTCTTACCCTTTGTTCATGTGGTAGTTTCATAGCATCTCCTGTTGTGTATCCATGGCTTTTCTGCAGAATTGTCATGCCAGAGTTGTACATAACACCTTCACCATACATCCCTAGAATAAATATTTGCAATATAAATACTGTATAACATTCCTCAACATTTTTACTATTGAGGTGCCCGTGATGATTATCTTGCATCTCTGTTCCATTATTCTTGGTGTCAGTTTTAAAAGTTTTATTACAAATTAATAAAACAATTTCATATTCCTCTTGATATTTAGTATCTAATAAAAAAAAGGCTCTTTGAAATTACAAAGACAATAGTAATATCAAGAAACAAACATACAAATACCGAGAAAACTATAGTTAGTTTACCTTTTCTTATCAGTGAGCTGTCATCATAAAGGGATCCAGTAAAGATGCCTGTTGCTCCCTCAATCAAGTACCTGTTAGAAGGTATGAAATTAAGATTATATAATTTTCTTTTAAACATGTCAAATCTTGTGGTTTATATTTTGAAAGAATATTGAAAAGAACAGTTCTATTTATAAAAGTATCTTTGAATCTAGACATTACCAACTAGGTTACCTCCTCCTTATTCTATGAAATTGTGTGACATAAAATGCAATGTAAAAGCTGTTCTTTAGGAAATGCAGGTGTTTTATTATTAACTACTGATTATTTCTAAAATGTAAGAATGAATTTCAATTTTGTATTACAGCCTAATTCTTTCTTAAAATGCATTTCATATTTTGTAACATACATGGATAATCATGTAATGTAAAGCAACAGACAATATTTAAAATGTTTGTGTATATTTTACTGATGGCATATCATTTTAAATATATCTCAGGAACAGTGCATATCAACCAAATCATTATTTTTGTACAAGTATTATCCACATTCAGTCATTTACAAACCTAATCCAAGTATTGCCTGAAGATGGGAAAGAGGCAAGAGCTCTGGTAGGTAAGGAATCTGGTGGTCTGAAGGAGTTGCTATAGTTGGCACAGGCCCTGTGGTTTGCCCATGGGTAGTGGGTCCTGCAAGTTAATTCTGTGTTTGTAAATGCTTATTATGAAAAGATTTTTGGTATTAAATGGGGAAACATTGAAGGGGACGTGAAAATTTGTTTGATCTACATTTAATTACCCCATTAAATATATATATTCCAATTACAAACTGTTGATGAAGGTATAAGCATACTAACAAAAGAACTGCAAATTTTCAGTACACAGAATTATACTGCTTAAAAATTATACTGCTTAAAAACAAAAATAATCCTTACAAGTTATGGAAAATTTTATACTGTGGGAGCCAAGCTGTTGGCATTGTCTTCTTTAGCGAAATAGGAAATCGGACAGTCTTCTGAGGGGTGGAGATGAGCTCTTCACCTCCATCAGGTCGTGTCACTACCTGGTTCTTCGCTCGTAACTGTTCGATGTATGCCTTCTCTTGCATAGCACGTAACTGAGGGTGGAAGGGGGGTGGTTATCTCTCTCTCTCTCTCTCTATGAAATTTCATTTTTAAGAAAAAATATTAAGAAGTTCATCAAAAGGATTGAGTGAAAGGAGAATCAAAGACAGCGAGTGAGCACGAGAGGACCGAGAATATACACCAAGCATACCTTCGTAACTCGTTGTTCCATTTCCTTCTTCTCCTTCGGAGACATGCGGTCTATGAGCTTCTTTTGTCCTGCAGTTAGCTTGTAGCCATGTTGCAGGGCTGTCAGGGCGGTCTCCTGCGCTTTCATGACATGATCTGCTGCCTTCTCCTTGGTACGGGGCACGTCCATGGCATCCTTTGAATGCAAAAATGGGGTTAATGATGAGGAGAAAGAGGGAGAAGAGGGTGGAGAAAGAAGAGGGAGAAGGAGAAAGAAGAGGGAGAAGGAGAAAGAAGAGGGAGAAGGAGGAAGAAGAGGGAGAAGGAGAAAGAAGAGGGAGAAGGAAGAAGAAGAGGGAGAAGGAGA